TGATGACTAGCACAAGTTATAAAATGCATTGTTAGATCTCTTAGTTCATGTCGGAAGTTAGTAAAGTTGATTTGTTCATATAGGAACTATTTCTGGATGAATCTGCCTTTCAAAAAAGGTAGCCTGTGTGTGGGCACCTGCACGCACCTGCGTGTGATGCTCTCTCTGAAAGTAGGACGGGGCCTAAGGCAGACCTAAGAGGGGGCTGTTAAGCATCATAGCGTAAGTTCCATTGTGTATGAATTCTTTTTTTTTTTGAAGAATCTTTCAAAGTATAACTAACAAAGACCCAACTACATTTGGCATTCCTTTGTTTATTGTGTAATGCCAGGAGGAAGTTCTGTGTCATAATTTGCATCTATAATTAAAGGAAATACATCTACCATTGAACTATATTTAATAATTTGTTTATATCTTCAACTTTCATGGAATCTATTCTTACTAAAATCATGTGACTTCAATAACTACAGGCCCCAGGAAAAAAATGAAAAATTTAAATCTTAATATATAAGAATTCATGCAACAGTTTCTTTTTTCTCATTGGAACAGTTTTACTATTTATATTTGAGTCATATAATTAAGTTTTAATTGACATTAAAATCAGAAAACTGGCCTCTTACCTTAGAATGTTCAATGACCATTGGCTTTTTATCAGTATCAAAGAGGCATTATTTATTTTACCTTTTATTATCTTGGGGGAAAATTCCATTCTTGAGATTTAAGGCAAATGATTTATTTCATTAATAATTAAAATGGCAGGTAAATACTAAAAATTTTCTGCTAAGTGTAAATACAGCCAACTTTTCTGAGCGATCTATTTATCCAGAATGCTGAACTATAATTCCTATACTATTTGCTTTTTTCAAAAATTTCCTGTTTTACCTACTGTTACATGATTTAAGACATTCCAATTAATTTATACCCTATTAATACTAATAATTATCAATAATTGTGATGTTACTCATTCATGAATTTTTATTATCTGCCCTAGCTGAAATTTTTATATTCTGTGTGTCGCTTATTCACACCTTTAACATTTATTTGCCATTTAGCATTTAGCATCAGGCTGCCGGCTTCTGTTCTGGGTACCAGGGCTACCGTACAGGGAGGCAGACAATAAACACGTCACGTGTAGGGCGATGGCATTATGTACAATGACCAGCAGTAAAGCTGGTTAAAGGACAAGAGACCTGTGGGAATGGGAGGCTACACTTTCACATCAGGTGGCCAACCTAGAGCAGGCCTCATTGACCCGGAGTCGTGTGGGCAGCGATGAGAAGGCAGTGAGCAAGCCCGTGTGCCCAGGCGAAGACCCTCGCAGGCAGTGGGAGCAGCATGTGCGTGTGTCCTGTGTGAGGACCAGCTAGGAGGCCAGCGTGGCTGGAGTGAGGTACGGGAGTCAGGGTGAGTGTGGGGAGGGAGGATCCTGTAAGGTTTACAGGTCATTATAAGAGTTTTGGCTTTTACTTTGAGCATTATTAGCATTGTAAGTCATGACTCATGCTTGAAAAAGGCTCACTGTAGAGTGTCGCCACACTCTGACATCGAAAAGATGAGAAAAGGAAGACAAAGGAGGCTGTCGACACACTTGAGATATGTTTTGAAGGCTCACCTGACGGGAATTAATTTATAAGCTGTGTTTATAGAGCTATTATTTTAAATCTGTATTACCCTGGGTCCCCTAGATGAATGTGCAGAAAATACTACTGGTTTAAGTTTCTCTTCAAGCCACTTTCTACAAGTACAAATTTTAGGACTGACTTTGTGGAGTTTTTTTTTTTTTTTAATAGAGTTACTGATTCAGTGTCAGATACTTAAATTTCATTGATTTTTATGCTCCCTGCCTTATGTAAGTAACCTAGAAAATGTCTGATGTAAGTAAGTGTATTTAAAATATTCCACATTGCTTCTCAGATACAGTTCACATTTTTTAATAGAGATTTTTTTTTTCCTCTTCATTATTTTTGGTGAAAACATAGAGGAAAGAGAATAAGACACGGGCACCAAGAGCCCAGGATTTGGAATGTGAGAGACCTAGGTTCAAGTCCAGGTCCCTGTACGTACTAGCTGTGTGACCTTGGGGAAGTCAGCAGCTTCCCCTCTCGGAGACTGGAGAACGGACTGCTGTGAGCATCCTATGTTATGCATATAAAACAGCACAGTACCAGGAGCATATTTAGAATTCTGTTGCTGATAATTGTTATGTTTAATTTGATAATGGCTGTGACGAGGAAGACCTTGATGGCACTGGAGGTATTTGCGTTTATTGGGAAGAATAATTTTAATATTTTTTAAAAGGTTTTTATTTGAGAGAGAACACAAGCAGGAGTAGGGATGGAGGGAGAGAGAGAGAAGCAGACTCCCTGCTGAGGAGGGAGCCTGACGGGGGCTCGATCCCAGGATCCCAGGATCATGACCTGAGCCACCCAGGCACTCCAGGAAGAATACTTTCAGGAGGAGCTGTTGCCTTTATGCATGACTATAGCAAAGCTGACATTTATTCCCAATCACTTAGGTATAAACACCTACTTCGTATACCTAATTTTCAGTACATTGTCTAATCTATGTACCTAAAAGGTGTATAAATAAAGACAAGTCCAAAATACTACCTATTGTATTTAATTTGTCAGATGTATAGTTAATTTAATAATAGACTCACAAAAATGACAGCCTTTCACTGTGTATAACAGTCTGTATCTTACTGAAAGTTGTCACAAGTGATACTCCTCTGACTTACCCTTCTCACTCTTCATCACCTGAACCCCTGATTCCATTGTGTTGAGTAGGCGGGGTGTCCCAGTGAAGTTTAATGTGACAGGATGGCTTACAGCATCCCTGTGAATCACAATCTCCTTTGACAGTTGAAGCAAACAGTAAAATTCACTCTAATATAACCATGTGGTGTCTGTCAGAGAGCGAAGTCAAAGAAACCATACCAGGCATCAGAATAATAAATATAAGATCTTTGCTTTTTTTTATTTTAAAGACTATTTATTCGTGAGAGACAGATAGAGAGAGGCAGAGACACAGGCAGAGGGAGAAGCAGGCTCCCTGCAGAGACCCCGATGTGGGACTCGATCCCAGGACCCTGGGGTGGTCACGCCCTGAGCCCAAGGCAGACGCTCAACCGCTGGGCCACCCAGGCATCCCTAGATCTTTGCTCTTTACATCAAGTTTGCATAGGTGTATATAGTGAAACACCTACCCACAACTTTGTGCTATGAGTTTTTGCACTATCTATACGGTTTGCATCTGATCATGCTGATTCTCAAGTTAATGACTTATACAGACCTCTCCGCTTGAACTTCTGTGATCATTATTATTCTTAAGTTATAGTCTGGGTTTTGTGCTGTCATTTGCTCAGTGGGATGTAACTCTGAAGTAATATGTGAAGAGCTCCATTATATTATAAATTATTGTAATATAATAAATTATTGTAAAACATTGGGGTTAGCTCACAGTTCATTGTTTTGTAATTTATAGATCAGACTTTCTTTTCTCCTTCCTAAAAATATTTGAAAGACCACCGTTTGCCATTAGTTTTTCTGCAGCTCACATTAAAAATATATTCTGATGGAATGTATTATTCTGACTACGAAATAAAATAATGGATGTTTCCCTATTTAGCAATGAGGTATAATTGTTAAGATTTTCAAAGCATAAATTCCAGCAGCATATGAGTTTCTTAAATAACAAATTATTTACTCTATAATGACAAAATTTCAGACTTAAATGATGCTTTGATATGAATAAAAGGTCTTCATGTCATTATGATTCAAGTATAACTTTAAAATTAATCTTTTTTATCCTAATTGACTAATTGCAAGCATCAAAGATACATGCACACATTTACATGTTATATATGTAAAACAAGAATGGGATTACTAAATAAAAATCTTCTTGGGAGAGTTATAAAGCATTCATTTTTCTTTATTTTTCATAATCATGTCTACCTATTTTACACATAAGTATTAAAAATTCAAATTGTAAGTACATAAATCTTTGGGAATAAAAATATAATCTTTAGAAAAGTAAGCTAATAGAGGAAGAAATCATTGGTGCTAATTAGCAAGTGCAAAAGATTCATTTCATTGAAATAGATACTTTTGAATATGAGATTAATAGATCTTTCTCTTTGCGTTAACAAAGTTACAATTCATATGTTCAAAATTTTTGATGACTGTTATGCAACCAGATACTTCAACTGATACAGAATGAACTCTAAATCCATTATTAGAAATATTTTATACTTTTAATCCTGATCTTAGTAAAAGAAGATTTCTGTTCATTCTATGTAACTACTTCTAAAAATCCTGACATGAACTTGCCTTGATTGCATAGGAGTATTTATCTAGGCACAAAATCTGGAAACAGCTAATCTGTCTTCTCTATATGTTTTTATTCAGATATTTATTTTGATTTGTACACCCCCACATTTAAACAAAAAAATAATGCAGTAAACCACTACATGTATGCAAAATTTCTATGTTTTTTATAATTAAAATGAAATATCCAATTTCACAGTAGCTTAATTTTTATTTGGGAGAAAAGTAGTTAAAACATTTTAGTTTGCATTCAATATGCTTTTATAATATTTTCATTTATTCAGTTTTTCAAATGTTTGGTACCACATAAAACACTTTTCACTACCATTCTCAAGGACTAGCCATTGTTTTCAGTAGATCTGGAAAATATTTATTGTAATCCTTTACCTTGAAGGCTGTCTAAAACAGAGTCATTCCATTCCATTCCATTCATTCCAGGTCAAAATACGAAGCAAATGGCTATAAATATCCCCTTTAAATAAATTTCCACTATAGATGCAAGTAATATGTGTACCATGGACCAGTATGCATTTTCCTTAATTATTCTTAAGGGAAATATAAAGCTGCATCTATGTATATAATTATATATTAAAATAAAGAGATATAAAGATATAAAATATATGAAAGTAACCATTCTGTCAGTACAAATTACTGATTCTGTTTTTTTCCCCCCAGGCCTGATGGAATTGGGACTGTTTCAATGGAGGAAAAAGAAAGATTTGAGGAGATAAAAGAAAGACTGTCTTCTCTTTTAGAAAATCAGATAAGCCATTTCAGGTATATAATCTATTCATTAATATTAAGTATTTTCTTTCTTCACCCAACACTCTGGTCCCCTACAGATGTTTATTATGTCTTTCTGCGGCTACTCCCTCCTCCATCGCCTGTGAGGTAAGATCCGTATTATTCCTTGGCCTGTGGTCTGCTTCTAAGCCTGCCATTCAGTTTCCATCATGCATTAAGGTAGGTCCCTTGCCCCTTCAGTTGGTGGGATGCATCTCTCACTTGCTTGTGCATTTCTCATCCGTGAGTAGCCTCTTCCCTCAGCTCTGGTGACTAGTCCTCTCTCTCTTTCAGTCACCAAGTAAGGAGCTTCTTCTGTCCTGTCTTCATAGTAGAGCTGTTTTCAGTCATTCCAACAAAGACTGGAAAACCTGAAGCCTTTTAGCATTTATCATCTGTACTCTTCACTAGTCGCTTATCGCATAGTTTTAATACCCATGTCTTAAGTCATTAGTTATTTTATTTGCATTTAGTGGGAACAAGGGCCATGTTGCCTGGCACAGTTCCTTGCTCAAAGAAAATTAGGCATTGATACTAAGACACATTTACAGAATGAAAGATCAATATCTTGATATTTTTCTCCCTGTTTTAGTTAGCTCACTAGAACCTAATCGTTAAAAAACAGAAATATTTCTGAAGAATGAAATTCAAGATAAAGGAGAAAACAAAGAAAGAGCGATAGTTAAGATCCCTGAACAGAAAATCAGCATTAAGGAGGAGGGAATCTTCATAGTGATAGTTAATAGAAAGTGATGATTGATTGAGCTTAGAAAGCAACCAGTTCTGATGAGAGCAGGTCAGAAAAATTCTTTAAGTAAATTAAATTGACAAAATACTAAGATGTTTTAATATATTGATAGAGGATTTACCAACCTGGAATTGAGTTTGGAGTTCTATTAATTAGATTATATTAGTTATATTGGAGTTTGGAGTCACATTAGATTAAGTATCTAAGAAGAGGATATTAAAAACAAAGACAAGTTTTATAAACAAAATAATGGCACATAAGTCATAGTAAATACAATGTCTCTGTTATCTAGGGCATTTACATAAAATGAATACTGAATTTAGTCCCCCAAAATGGCATAACCATGTTAGAAAGATAGGAAGGACAGGAATTACATTTAGAGTGGCTGAAAGTAATCAAAAGAAAAAGAAAAAAAAAGCTACATATGTCTAAAGGGGAGTAACATACTCTCCCATCTGAAACAAAATTTTCTAAGGATAAAATATGTGGGAAAAGCTTTTCAACACGTTAAACATAAAACAATGAATAAAAGTGATTCTTGAGAGATGAAAAACAGATGAATAAGGCCTTTCATTGTTTCTGCTTGGCACCAGTAGAGTGCTTCTGGGCTGTGGGCCAGGGAGGAAAACCCCAGTGGACACCCTGATTTGAGGAGACAGAGGGAGAATCTAGAGAGGGCAAGGCAGCCAGAGTTTGCAGGTCAGAATTCTAAAGAAAAGATAGGAGAGACCTACAGGCATTTGCTGAGGTTTCCCCTGGAGTAAACTAAGTTTTGATCTGAGCGTGTATGTAAGGAAACTAAAGTCGGACAAATAATCCTTTAACTCTGTGGTAGTATTGTAGGAGATAATCCTCAAAGCTAACACAGAGCTAAGGTGAGTACCAGTTTTTACCACCCAAAGTGGAAAGATTCTAAGTCATGGACGGAGAGTAGAATACTCAAGAGAATTTGTGCCTCAGTAATAGAAAATAATTAGCTTTTTTAAATCTCTCCTAATGAGGACTAAAGCCAGTATTCTAATAAATCAAACTGTTTTTAGGTAATTTAACCGCATTCCAGAACAAAGATCAAGAATAAAGGAATACAAAAATACTGAGCCTCCATAATGTAAAATAATAATGTCTAGCATCTAGTCAAAAATTTCTAGGCATACCAAAAAATCATCAGATATGACCAATGAAGAGGATGGAAGCAGCCAGAAATGGAAATGAGAATTAGTAAACAGGAATATTAAAAGAATTCTTACCAAATGTCATATATTCAACCTGTTAAGGGTATCTATGGAAAACCTACAGCTTCATACTTAACAGTGAAAAGTTTGAATTTTTTTCACCTAAGATCAAAAGCAAGGCAGGGATATCTGCTCAAAAATCAGTAACCAAGGTTGTGTAGTACAGACAGTTCAGAAATCAACTCACACATATTTGGTCAATTGTGATTTTCAAAGATATACAAAGATAATTTTCAAAGTACCCTCTTTTCAATAAATGGTGCTAGAACTAGTTACATAGCCAAATGCAAAGTATTAGCCTGGACCCATACTTCATACCTGATTAATAAGTTATTTCAAAATGAGTAGACCTAGGAAACAGAAAATCTCTTTGTCCTTAGACTAAGTAAAGATTCTTTAAAACACCAAAATCATGATTTGTAAATGGAACAATGTTACATTGAACTTCAAAAACATTAAGAACTTTTGATCTTCCAAAGACACTGTTAAAGGAATAAAGAGATCTCAGAGTGGGAGAAGATATTTGGACAATACGTATCCCACAAAAAACTTGTATCCAGAATATATAAATAACTCTTAAAACTTAGTAAGAAATGAAATAACCCAGCAAAAAATTGTTTCTAATATTTCACCAAAGACGTGGTGAAAAGGCAGATGAAAAGATGCTCAGTATCTTTATTCAATAGAGATATAGAGATTAAAACACAATGTAGTACTGCTGTTGTTATTAGTCTAACTAAAATTCCAAAATCACTACCACCCAACTCTGCATATACTCTTGAGAGGAGTATAAACAGATAACAACCCACTCTGTAAGATAGTTTGCAAATTTTAAAAAATTCAAACACTTAACATATGACCCAGCCCAAGATAAGCGAAAGCACATGTCCACACAAAGACTTCTATGTGAATGTCTGTACCAGCATTAGTGATAATAGCCAGAGTATGAAAACAAACCAGGTGGCCATCAACAAGTAATAGATAAACAGTGTATTGAGATACTTCTGAGCAACAAAATGGAATGAACAGTCGATGGTATGGATGAGTGTCAAAATATAGTGAGAGAAATCAGAAGCAAAAAAGTATGTCCTATAAGATTCCTCTTACATAAAATCATAGAAAATACAAACAAATCCAAAGATAAAGTAAATCAGTGGTTGCCTGGGCCGGAGGGCGGCGGGGAAGGAAACATTTGGTGGTTGTGAATATGTATATAATATGTAAATTGATTGTGGTGATGGTTTCACAGGTGTATACACATGTCTAAACTTACCAAATTACATATTTTAGATATGTGCAGTCATTTGTCATTTACATCTCTAAATCTGTTAAAAACTCAGTACTCCCTAGTGGGAAGTTAGTAGAATAATATTTAAAACTGAAAAATCAAGAATCAGAAATATTAGAATGTAGGTTAGGAATATAATGTTTAAATAAAGAAACAGCTAAAAGTTAAAAGCTTTTTTTTTCCTGGAGAAATTGCTTGAGGAGTGGGGTGGAAAGGGCATAAAAAGGACTGCTTTTCATAAGAAGCCTCTGGAAGAATTTGCCTTTCAGACTATGTGCATATCTAACTTTGATAAAAAGAAATACTGTATTTTAAAATGGTAAGGAAAAAAAATGAAAAATAAAATGGTAAGGAAAAGAAACCAGTTTCATTGTAGGACATGTCTAGGCCAGGCTCATCTATCTGTGTGATCAATTTAAATTTACTCAGGTGGGAATCAGGATGATTTCAATTTATTCAGATTAGATTCTAAACTTAGTTGAATTTTATTTGATGATTGGGCATTTTCCACTTTGCTTTGTTATTACAGAGCTGTCAAAGTGGTTAAAAAAACAAACAAAATATTTATCTTGGAAGGCAGTACAAAACTCTTCCTTTCTTTTAAAACTTGTTTTGTAAAGATTAATTAAGCTTCTGTGTAGTTATTTTCTGTACTTTATTGATTCAGGATTACTTGTACCCTGTAAATGTGTTGAATTATTTACACATCGTGGGCAGCTAATGCTAATTCAGAACAGACCCAGTGGGACCTCGGAGCCCTGAAATGCTAAGTGTAATCTGGGGATCAGTAACATTCCATTCATAAAACGTGTCACCCACCGGTTAATGGAAATAAACAATAGGAAAGACAATGGGTGGATTATGCAAATATACTGAAAAGATTTAAGCGGGGGAGGGGACTGTAAGAGCCCAATTTGTGTTTTATTTAAACGTGGATTAAGATGTATACAAAATGAGGACAGCTACTTTGCTAATTTGCTCCTACTCTGATGAGCAACACTGCGCAGGGAAAAAAAAAAAAAACCTATCAAAAATAAATCGTTGCCTCTGTGGCAGCAGAGAGGAGTAAGACAAGGCCTCGAGGTAAGAGTTGAAGGAAATTGTTAACGGGAAAATAGTGTTCTGAAGAAAAATTTGGCTAGATTTATGACTTTTTTGCGTTTACCTGACACTAGTAAAAGTTTTCTGAAACTAAACCCCAATCCTGATTTAAATTTAGCAACTGTTTGGTGAGAAATTCATCCTTAATCCATCTTTAAAAGTTGCTGCTATAAACAATGAATTTAAGATACATGTGTTTTTAGGGAAACCTGTGCAAATCACCTTGTAAAAAAAATAATTTTACTGTGAGGTACATCTTACAATACGTGTCCACCAAGACCCTGAGTCATTGAGGACAAAGGACATGGAAACATACGGACTTTAGGTTCCTGGCTTGAGGATTCCTGATCCGGAGCCCAGTGGCAGCCTAGGGGGCACTTGATCTTGAGGGGGGGGGTGGTCGATCTCAGGGAGCCAGGGGCTCCGGCAGGCTGGGGTGGCCCTGCCCTGCTCCTCAAGTGGACCGTGACCTGCCAGGGACCCAGGGAAGGAGCAGCAAGTCTGTCCCCACCGTGTGCCACCAAGTCCCATGGAGCCCGCTCCCTCGCCCGGCTGGACCCCACTTTCAGAGAAGTGGCGACCCACCCTGGGGGTGGGGGGTTGGCCAGGAGCCGGACAGGGCCCAGTGCTGTGGCCCAGTGTAGGCTTCGGTTGGGGCGTTCCCGCTGGCAGAGACGGGCAGGTGTCAGGAGGCAGCGAGCGGATTGTGTGTTGTCCTCGAAGGGGATCAGCGGCAGAGCGGCCCCGAGCAGCAGGCCTCCCTGAGCAGTAGGCCTCGGGGAGCTTCAGGGGCTCTGTGCTGCTCCCTCTGCCCGGGAGCTGTGGAGGTTCTTTCTGAACGTATGTTACCAAAATGTGGACCCTTTTTATCACAGTTTATACTCTTACTGTGAAAAGGAATTGCAAGCATGGAACTAGGGGTGCCCGGGTGGCTCAGTGGTCGAGCAGCTGCCTTGGGCCCAGGGTGTGACCCCGGGGTCCCGCATCGGGTCCCCGCAGGGAGCCTGCTTCTCCCTCTCTGCCTGGGTCTCTGCCTTTCTCTCTGGGTCTCTCATGAATATATAAATAAAATCTTTAAAAAAAGAAAAGAACATGTGGAACAAGGTAAACTTCTGCTGTTAAAATTTTCCCAGATGGGTTGATGCTATTTTAACCACTTTTCACCATTTTTCAATAATGCCAAGTACTACAAAAGGGAATAATTTGGTGGTCTTGGATATTAAATGTTTGGCTTTCTTGTTCCTCCTTTTGTTTTTGAAGATACTGTTTTCCCTTTGGACGACCTGAAGGTGCTCTAAAAGCTACGCTTTCGTTACTTGAAAGGGTACGTTTGAACACTCCTTTATCAGTACTACGCGCGCACTCTTGATGGCTGAGTATTTTAGATGCTGGACCAGGCAGACAGGCCCATCCCTCACGGCAAGTATGCTCTCCGAGGCCGTCGGTCCCATTTCATCACTTCTCACCTGCCCTTCCTGCATCCCGACCCCTCCTACGTCCTGCTGCTTCCTCCTGGCGGCTGTCCTGAGGCCTACCCCTGCCATCCTGTGCTGAGTCGATGGCGTGTTGGTAGGACCCGTTTCCCCACCTCCTTCTTTCCCTCATGAAATAGGATTTTTCCCCCCAGTTGAGTGTAATCGTGTTTCTCAGACTTCTCAGTGGTCTTTCCTTCCGCTCCCTTGCTCCTGCCCCAAGTTGTGCTTCCACCAGTCCCAATTCTCATACCTCTGAGGGTTTATCATTGAACATGCACAAACGTATCATTCCCTTCATTCTAAATCAATCTCAGAATTCATTTCAACTTGTGTTACCTTAAATGAATTCATGAGTTGTAGAAATTCGTTTTCCCTCAAAAAGTAAATAGCAAACAAGAATTTCCTATCCGTAATATAAGGGAAGGGAGAAGAAATGTGTGGGAGATATCAGAAAGGGACACAGAACATAAAGACTTCTAACTCTGGGAAATGAACTAGGGGGTGGTGGAAGGGGAGGAGGGCGGGGGGTGGGGGTGAATGGGTGACGGGCACGGAGGGGGACACTTGACGGGATGAGCACTGGGTGTTATTCTGTATGTTGGTAAATTGAACACCAATAAAAATTAATTTATAAAATAAAAAAAAAACAAATAGGAATTGAGGAATACTTGCCTGATAAGTATCCAAAAATATTTGCTACAGTGTTACTGTACCATGCAATAAATAATATTCTAAATATCAGCAAAAAAAAAAAAAAAAAAAAAAAGAATTTCCTATCCGTGCAAAAATAATTCATTGACGAAAGTACATTCTCCACTCCTGTTTCTGTGCAGACTGGGTTGGAATGGGAAGGGTCTTTTTCATTTACTTATAAAACGATTCATATGGTGTTTGCTCCTAACAGTTAAGTAATGTGGACAATTCCTGTTCTTACCAGCATCAAAAATAATTTCTAAGGATCGTTAATAGCTGGTGATTTGATTATTCTGGCCCTGATTTATTGACTTCACAGCACTTGGTCTTGTCCACTTTCCTGCCAAAGAATTCTAGATATGTTACGTTGTTTATTAGCACTTCTATTAGAAGTAAAAAGGGAAGGCATTTTTCCAGTGATGTAGGGACTTGGAAGATGAGGGTAGACCTGCTGTCTGTATACATTGGTTGCGCCTGTCTGTCCCTGTCTTATCCTGGATTCCGGTGCACCATGGGACAGAAATATTATGGTGGAAGTTGCCTGTTTTATTAGAATTTTTATAATAAAGCTGCATGTAACACAGGCTTTCCAAAGTACTCGTTTTATCCAGCTCATTAAGGTATCAGAAAAAAAGCTAAAACCTTTACAGAGAGCTCTGCTTTTGGGGTGGCCTCCCATGCTGGGTCTGCGTGCAGCCTCTCTGCTGGTTTCCAGGGGGACAGTAACGGCACAGACGCCCTCGGGCACTGGCAGGGGGCAGGGGACGTGGGGGGGGGAACAGGGACCTTTTTTCCAGTTATAGCCTCTCCTGCCTCTTGCTCAGTTGAGGGAGACATGGTAGGGCCACTTCTTCGTTTCCACGTCTGTGTACTTACTGACATCTTAGAAAACTAAAATCTGCATGTGACTTCTTCATACTTCCTATGCTTTGGAAGAAATGGAGAGGGTACGTGAAGCAAGCCGGCCCTCCCTGTTTGTACTCGCCAGCCTTTCATCTGTACTTTGCCAGGAAAGGCGATACAATTCCCCCCACTCCAAATTACACATCCAGCTCCTGGGTCATATGAACTGTCCCCTGATTTCAACCCTGGACCCTCCTCTGTCTGTCGTAGACATGCATTCTAATTTCAACAGCTATGTCTGTTATTTCAAAGTCTGTTGGGCACCCGGGTGACTCAGTCAGTTAAGCGTCTGACCCTTGATTTCAGCTCAGGTCACGATCTCTGGGTTGTGGGATGGAGCCCTGCATGTGGGCTGCACGCTGGGGTGTGGAGCCCGGCTTGGGATTCTCTCTGCCCCCACCCCCACCCTTACCCTCCCACCCCCACCCCTGCTTATGTGCGTGCATGTGCACACGCGCGTTCTCTCTCTCTCTCTCTCTCTCTCTCTCTCTCTCTCTTTCAACAAAATAAAGTTCATGGTTCTGCATATGGGACAAAATTAATTTTAAATTTAAATTTTAGTGATAGTCACGTTAAAAATAATAGCACATTTGGAAACAAAAATAACAGTATGTTAATGCTTGTTTTTTTCAACTATAAGCAGAAAAGATTTTTTTTTTGCCTATAAAGAATCTAATGTGCCGTTCTAATTAAAGTGCCAAATGTATGTAAATGTGTTAAAGATTTTTAATCTATGAAGAATGATTGAGATTGAAAATTTCCAGAAGGAAATTTTTAAGTGATAAAATTTGCTGTTTTGAAAAGGAAAGCTTGCCTAACAAAACTAAATATGTTGTGAAGGATCACCAACGCTTAAATGGTCGAGTAAATCAGAGATTATAAAGTCCTTCATGCTGAGGCCAATCAAAAGAGAATGAGGTAATAGAGCATGAAAGAGACGTTTTCATATTCTTTTGATGAATCTTTAAGGTAAAAGACTAATAGAACAGTAAGAATACGTACTGTTCTTGTCTTCTCTATATTCACATTTTACCTTTGATTTTGTGATAATATATGGAAAGATAGAGGTTAACGGAGTAACCAGTTTTATCATTGAGAAAGTTTTAAGGAAAATTATCAGTGAGCCATTACAAAAGTGCTTAAATACATTATGTTTTGCATTCTGGATATAAATTGTATTTTCTCTTTGCTAACAGTAATACTTCTAGAGAAAAAAAAAATCCAAAAATATATTTAGGAACTCAACAGAAATCTGTTCTTTTTTTAATTTCAGAAAGTTTCTGTGTATTTTAACATTTGATACTCCCTTCACTTTGCTGAAAGATTCCTGCCCCCCCACCCCCCCACCCCCCGCAGATCCCAGTATTAAAGTTTAAGTGTCAGAATTGGAGATGCTGATTTTCAGAGAGCTCAAAAACAGTGCTTACTCTTCACAGAATCCTGTTACTGTTTTCATATACATCACTCCAAAGATTTAAAAGCTTTTAAATTAGGAATTGCGAGACAAACTATTACTCGTCCCAAGGACTCTAATCCGGATCCGAAACAGCTGTTCTAATGGTGTCGCGCCCCCGGAGGAGAAGCGACAGTCGTCAGGGTGAATGGTGGTCCGGCCTCGGCCTCGGGGAGGTTTTGATGAGCATAGATGAGGCTTCGACAGGAGGAGCCAAGACGGGAGGATCACGTCCCGCGCTGTGAAGTGCCACCTAGGCCCCCTTCCTAGTAATAGATCTCCGACAATTTGTGTCATTTGATTGTGGTGTCTATTTTATGCAGCCGCTTTCTCTCCCCCGCTTTAGGTTTTAATGAAAGATATTGCCACTCCCATACCAGCGGAAGAGGTGAAAAAAGTGGTCAGGAAGTGTCTGGAGAAGGCTGCCTTGATCAATTACACCAGACTCACAGAATATGCCAGAACAGAAGGTCAGTGCGGCGAGCGCTCGCCCAAGTGGCGGTGAGAGCCAACAATGCCTATTAACTGAATTTTCTGTGCGGAGTTCTCTCCTTCCCCGAACAAACCTGTACCGTGGCAAAGGGAAATGTCTCATTAAAATCTCAGCTGGTGAACTGAAGAGCTTTTTCCTATTCATTGCTTTAATATGCCTCCTGGGACTCCGCTTGAATGAAAGACCCGGGATTCGTGCTTAAGTTGCCCTTTGTTCTTATTTTGAGTTTTCAAGGGACCAAAAGGTGTTTTCATGGGTTGTATTTTTTGACATTACCGTAAGTATGTCTAGCGTTTAAGCTCTGGGTAGTGCCGTCTTTCCTGATCGGTTAGCGGTACAGTGTCACATCGTTTTATTTTCTGTGCAACGGTGTCTCTCAGAGGAGGAGGAAACTGGATTATGGCGAGGGCCCAGATAAACTGACAGGATTCCTGCAACTTTTCATTGCTGGCGGTATATTAATGCACTTGAAAGATTAGAGCTCTGGAGAGGACTGCACATTTTTTCCTCTTCCTTCAGCTTTCATTCCTTAAGAAGACTGAAATTTAAGACGCTCAGAAATAACGAGATTGAAATCTGTGACAAAATCACTTTATTCAACAACCCTTTAATATAAATGAAAATGAAAGAAAGGGGCTCAGATTTTTTGCTTTGATTATGAAACTGTCTTGTGTGGTACGTGCAGTGCTTACTTAGGAAAAAAAGTTTGCGACGTCAAATACATCTAAAAATAAAAGCAAATCCTCTATTAGAAAAATTTTCGTTACTCTTAATATAAAATTGTACTTAATCATAAATTTATTAATTACTGATATTAAGATAGTTTTATCAAAAATGGGACAGTGAGAAAGACTGATTATAATTGGCTGTTATATCCTTTTTTTCTCTCCAAATCTGATCAAGCTTTCTAACAAGCATGCAATAACCAACCTCCTGAGTGATTAACAAAAAAGCCATCCCATCACTATAGCAACCAATATTATATCACGAGAGTAACAACATGAAACCTCCTTAGTTACCAGTTTAACATCATTAATTATGATATCACGTTGTGTTAAGGCAAAAGCAGTGAACATTAGATCATTTGGGGAAAGTGGAAGATAAACAGATTGGTTTTCACATCTTGAATACTCATTCAAACAATTTTTGTGCTTCGGGATATAATGTGTCGTGAACATGGGCTGAAAGAATCCGTACAAAAACAGGCATTTTAAAACCCTTCACATCCGACAAAGGGAAAAAGTTTGTGCGCAGCTTGAATAAACACAATATTATTTTATCCGAATGTTTAAACTCTATCCACAAAAACCTGTGAGAAGCCTTTTGTTCTTAAGTCTCTATTCTAGTTAATATTCTTGACCACTGTCTTATCCAAGGATACTGAAGGGATCTGCAGACTGTTTGTTTTCTCCTCAGAGTCCATTTTAACATGGACGAATAAAATTATCTGTCGCAGCCACAGGTAGCTTTTATGAATTAGCTGGACATGGTAACACTGGTGGTCGAAAGGCACGGCTGTTCTGGATCACACACAGGAATAAGTCCGTGTTAGAGAAGATCCTATTATAGGACTAACTGGACAATGAGCAAGGATTTCTCCCACCTTTTTCCCGTCTGGGATCATTGGTCTCTTCTAGCTGACTGTGAGAATATTCTAGAAAATGGATCCTAGAAATCTAATTAGGTCAAAATACTGAGCCATCTCCATTTTCAAAGAAAAACAAAAAAAAAAAACAAACAAAAAAAAGCATGTTCTTTACATGAGAAAACCTCTATGCATTTCACTATCTCCTTTTCTTCCAAGTCCCTTTTGTGTATCTTAAAAAATACAGCACTTTTTTGTTTATGCTCAGGACCACCCCAGGAACAAAATCTAATTTAACTTGGAAAAAGGAAGTGAGCCCCTTTTCTTTTGCTTGATTGACTGCCAGCCTGGGTGCAGCAGCACGGGGAGGGTCTGCTTTTCTCCTAAATCGTCTTTTCTTATGTTTTAGGCCCAGCAGAAAAGGACGCAGGTAATGACCGTTTGTGCATGCACGCGCTGTTATTTCTGTCGTGGCGGCATGATGTTTGGCGCCGATGAATAGCTGCCTACTTTCCAGGGCTCCTATTAGATCACTTTGACTAAGATACTGAGAACACTTGGATTCTGCTGGGACTGTGGCTCGTGCTTCGTAGGGAAAATGCAGGCCATTTACCTCTGGAAAAGTTCGGCAATATTTTTTATATAAATTCAAAGTGAAAAAGCCCCGAGACTGTATGAACGTTACACATTATGTTTGAGGCGTGGACACCATCTCAGTTGGAAGCCACTGCCGATATTTGGAGGGCTCTTACCGCAAGGAAAGAGGAGCGTCTTTCCTTTATCACTCCTGAAAAATAATGGGTAAAAAGCATAAATGCCACTAAATGAGAAGTAAGCAGCTCTTAACTCTGCAAGTTGCTAACGGGAGGAAGGCGCAGGGGTTCTGAGATCCCAGCCTCAGGCCGCTGCGGGGAAAGCGTTCTTCTCTGGGTCTCTGAGTTTGATAAAGGTGCTGTCCCGGTCTCCTTACGCCGCTGATCACAGTCGTGATTCACTTAACTGCATGTGCCGCTACGTGTCCGTCCTGCCTGCGTCGTCCTTAGCAAACCCTTGCGGGCAGGACCCTCGTGGAAGGCGTTCCCTGTTGGGTCCCAGCACCCAGCCCGGCGCCGCGCCCACAGGGAGGTGCCCCTGGGGCGAGGAACACAGCTACACTGACCCCAGAAGTGCACCTTGGGGGCTCCCGGCCCTCGTGGGCAGCCTCTCGGGGTGGACTTGTCCAAGATCCCCCACGGCATTGTCTCCCTCACAATGTCAACGTCGTGAAGTAGTTTGTATGTCGTTGGCCCACAGTCAGCCCAGGGTCCGCTAGGGCCTTTCCTAGTGACCCGGAGAAAGAGTCAGCCCGTGGGGCCGAGGTGGGTGTCCTGAGCTGGTCTGCAGAGTTCTCCTGCCCGGGCTGTTGGGGTACCTGGGGTGGGGGCAGAGGTGCCCTGGGGCAGCCCCATCAACGGGGGACAGGAGGGGACTGTGCTGTCCCGCGGCCCCTCACTTCCGGGCAGAAGCCCCCTCTGTGCGTGTGGACCATTGTCCGCTCCTCTGCTCAGGCTGAGACTCCAGGACCAGCGCTCCGTGAGCTTCAAGGCCCACGGGGGCACCGGCTGGGCTCAGCCAGTGGAGCACGACTCTCCACCTGGGGGCTGCGGGTTCTAGCCCACGTCCTTGTAGAGATTACTTACGAGTCTTTAAGGGGCGCCTGGGTGGTCGGTCAGGTGTCTAGTTCTGGGGTCGTGATTGTAGGGTCGTAGGACGGAGCCCCACTCGGGCTCCCCCTTGGAGTGTAGTCTGCTTAACTCTGCCGCCTGCCCCCACCGCCATCGCTTCCCCTCACTCGCCCCCCCCTCTGAAATCAATGCGTCCTTTGGAAAATCTTAAAAAAATGTTTCTGAATTTTAAAGAATGGAATTAAATAGGAAAGTGGAAAACCAGTGTAGTCTAGTGATTGACGTGGATGAAGGGAGAGCTAGCCTCAGGTGAAGAATCTTCTCAAGTAACAGAACAAAAGGTTTTGAAGAAACGTCGTTCGTTTCTTGGGCCGCATCTCGTAGCGAGTGGACAGGGTCACCTCGTGAATGTCCTCGGAGGTGCTTTTAAAAGCGACTGAAAACGAGAGTGGCTGTTGACTATATGGGAGGCGGCCGCTCCCTCGGGGGGCTCCTGCCAGCTGGGAAGAGCCCCCTGTGCCCAGGGGCGTCAGGATGCCGTCCCCCAGTGACCCCGTCCCCTCCGAGGACTCTGCTCCATTGGCTCATCAGAGCAGGTGACAGTAGCCTGCCAGTGCTGTGCTGCTGTTACCAATTCGGCAGACGTGGGACTTGCACCCGCGTCCCCCGTGTTCCTGCCGCCAGGGCTGATTCGTAGCCGCCGCCGCACCATTGCTCGAGCCCCAGGGTCGCTTTTGCCAAAAGTACGGATCGTTATTCCCCGAGAGCGGACACTCGCTACGAGTATAAGAGTCATAAGCACCGTGCACGCACCCGTTCACCCTTCACGCCTTCCTGCTACTGCCTTTCCGGGAGCCTGGAGCAGGGAGGGCTCCAGGTGCGGCCAGGCGGGGGGGGGGGGGGGGGGGGGGGGGGGGGAGCGGGAGCACAGTAGCCTCCTGCGAGCTGTCGCCAGCTGCCCCTGGCTCCGCCTCCCTCGCTTGTCCTGGCAGCTCGCGTGGTTAACTCTGCACCCAGTTAAAACCTGGGAAAGGAAGTCGGGAACCGTAGACGCCACTTAAAATCCTCTAGTCGTCCCGTTAAAGAGGTAAAATGAAAGGGGCGAAGTCCATTTTAATAGCAGTTCCTTTAACCTGACCCATCCACGTCGTACTATTTCAGGGCGTGTTCAGCGGACAGAACCACTGAGGCATCTCACGTCACTGTCTCGTACAGCCGTTGAGGTCTGCTGCGTGACTTACTGCACTGGCACGCGGCGTAGCCCCACGTCCAGGACCCGTCTGCCGGCGGAGTCTCCCTGTGCTCGCCGCCCCCCCCACGTCCCAGGTGTTGGGAGTGACGGAGATCTGTAAGCGCCCCCCCCAGCGCCTCCCTCCCTCCCCGACCCCATGTTTCCCTGGCACCTAGGATCTGACACACGCAGGTCGGTCACCCTACTGTCGCCCTAGACCGCCCGCTCCACAGGGGCAGGGCTCTCATGTTTCAGGAACCCGCTCTGTCTCCGGGGCTGGAAAATGTGCCCGGCACATAGTGGGTACTCAATTACTATTTATTGAATAAATGAATGAGTTTATGGCAGACGGTTGATGAGGCTATTTATAGCGGAGAGAACATCTGTAAACGGGCAGACTGGCTTGCGGAAGGTCGTTCAAATCAATCACTGAATGATTAACAATATAAAAGCAAAAACTAACCGCTTCACAGTAACAAGGTTGGAAAAATTGAACC